ATTCGTATTCATAGCATTCTGTTCTATCAAGCAGCATTCAAATAAACAATATATATTTACCTTATTATCGAGTTATTATTTCTCTACAAAAAATATCCAAACCTCGAGCTCTAACACTCCCAGCTCCACGCTGAACAAAACTAACTAAAAGCTTTAGTACCGGCACTCCACGAAGTCCGTACACAGTAAATAAACCATAGTGAACCAAAGACAGTGATTTTCAGACATAAGGGTATCAGACACGAACCAAGTGCATACAGGGTGACACAAAAGTCCGAACCACGTTTCCATGTGTCCTAAATTGGAAACCAAACTTAGTGAAGTGCTCCCATGGCCGTGTAGGTCGCAACACATCCCAACAAATAAATCTTGGAATCCCCACCTAAGCTCATTGAACTCAGAACAATGGCAGAGGATCGGAGATCTTACTTACCACTAGGGATAGACAATAACTTATCACGTAGCCCAACCAGGCCACCAACCGGGTAATGGGTATGGAGTGTAATAAATACAAAAGTCGTATACTGTTACATTATTGAAAACAAAAGTTTAAATCAACCGCGGCAGCAAAGAAAATATGTGAAATTGAAGGAGATTTGACGCTTAAAGATCGATCGTGCTCTAGGTCGTCCATCTGTGTGGGATATTGAGGCTGCAAAGCAGTAAAAAACCAACCCAGTACCAGCACGCGTCGATTATCGGACTCTCTCAGACCTTCAAAAGACACTAAACATCGCCACCTAAAATCATTATGTTAAGACCTATAAAAGTTGTCGGATAATGCCCTATGATTGAAAACTGACATTATTTATGAGACACCCTCAGTATATAAATCATTATAAATCTTTAAACGCAACATTTAACAGGCAAATTGATTCTGCTTTAAGAATTATAATTTAACAGCAGATGAAATTATGGATAATACATCTTACTTTTGGTCTTTTGTAAGACTATGAGAGGTTGATCTCGTATTGGGCCATTACTAATATGCATATATCTAATGAATTTTGAGCATGCAACTTAATAAATATAAGGGTAAAAATTCACTGAACTTAAATACAATTATATCAACCAGTGGTGGAGGTATTGGAAAACATTGTCATTAAAAATCTAAAAATTTCAATGTTATTGAATATTTTCAAAATTCATTTGATTCGTAATCATCTTTCAAAGTAAAAAGGTTTCTTCCATTTTATTCGAAAAAGCAATTCATTTTTGAGTTATTTTTTCATTCAAATATAAACTCGCACGTCACACACACATCATTCATCACACAGTGAATAAATCGAAAATAATTCTTGATCTTTTCAAAAAAAAAAAAATAATACAAATAGAATGTAATCACTAAAAGACAGGAAAATTCAATGGCACATAAATTTGCCGCTACTACGCCATAGAAAATATAAAATATCTACATTAATGTTTTTATTATTATTATATTTAAAATTGTATTTGCAACACAAAAATTTCTGTTTTTTGTAAAACTAAATTTTTTTATTAAATTATATTAAACTTATTTTAGACTAAAAAAAATTCAAAAAGAATTCATTTCGCAAATAAAATGCAGGAAATATTTTTCTCACTGAAATTCAATTAAGGGCGTTCGATACATCTCTTGCGGGGCAGGTGGTGCGGGAGGGAAGCCTATGCTTATACACGGTAGTTTCATTGTACTACCAACCTTACTTAAACTAAATTGAGCAAACTAAATATAATATATACGAATGAAATTTATACAACACATATTAGCTTGCATATATTTTTGTGTTTAATGCACGGCAATTAACTTTTTATTTGCATAAAAGTGTCTATTTATTTATTAAGAGCTTGTAAAATTATGGATGAAATCTGGCATCAGTGCCATTGCCATGCCGTAGTGGTAAAAGTTGGGTCAACTGTCATTACTGTCAACTGTGCTTTGCGCATATTCCGTAAACTTGATGAACATCCAAGATACAAAGGAAAAGCAATATAAAATGCGTATGAAACATAATATGGATTGATGAGAAAAAAGTAAAATGTGCAAACCGAGAATCTATATGATAACTATCAAGAAGTTCAGTGTATGATAGTGAGACGTCGCCTTGTCAAATTGAAGATTATGACAAAACACCTATACTGTTCGTTTTGCAAAGAGATCCTTTCAATTTTTGTTTCAAATTGCTATTATATTCCATTAGATCACGAAAAATTTATTTAATATTATTACTACATACGTTTTCGACTGGAATAATTTTATAGTCTATAATCGAGTTATTCAAATATAGCGTGTCAGTCAAAGCGTTAAATATAGCGTACAGTGTTGCCATATTTCCTTTCATTGGATCAGATGTTTGTTCGAATTTGTCAAAATGTTATATATTCATTCCATTATCTCAATAATTACATTGTAAGCGCATATTTTTATTGTTTTAAAATGTTTAGTAATATTTAATTCTTTAATTACAATTTTATTTTCCCGGTCCTAACTATTTTTAAGAGCACTATTCACGTTTCATTAAAGTTTTTTCCCAACTCCCATAAGAGCCTGTGTATAAGAGCATAATTTTTAATATCATTTTTCAAAAAAACTGTATTGGCAATCGATCTGATATTTTTACACGAGGCAGTTGGCATATTTATTAACAGATTTCAATGATTTTGAAAACTTTCTTACCATTTTTTTTTCGGTATCGAACTTTAAGTACCTATCAAACAAACTTCAAACAAAATTCTGACATACTATGTCTACCAGTATCTCCGCCAATGGTTGATATAATTGTACACAAATTATGTAAAATTTTACCTTTATTTTGGTATCGCCTGCCCAAGATCTATGGGGAATATCTTTCGAGATATGTGCATATTTGTAAGGTTTTTTAAAAATTGAATCACCCTGTAACTTGTAACTGATGCAGTTTTGGACTAAGGTATATTTTACTGAATTATATTTTGGGCTCAAGGTTATCAAGGTATCATTTGTGCTCCTTCACTTTGTATTTAGTATTTTCAATAATTTATATAAAAACATATTCATTTAGTCTGTATATGCTTACCCGAGTTAACTCATGCATACAAAAGCAGTAGAAAAAATTATATACTAGAGCTTTTCAATGCATATCATTTATAATCAAAGATATTAAGGACAGCATAAAATTCTCTAATAGTAGCGGTTTTATCTGCTAAACAATCTGGTTACATGGGTTCCTGATGCATAACCTATAATCTTAGCTATTCATTTTTCAAATCACACAAATAAACATGATACTCATTTTTAGTTAGTTTTCGCTTTTCAGGAGTCGAAAAATGTTGGGTCAAATGTGAAATCAAATGAGGCCGAACTGACCAGTGGCGAAATCCTGAAATCTCAATGACATTTTATCGATATCGAGATTATTACGAAGTCAATCTCGATCGATTCGACTCGAAATGTAAATTGGTACTCTTGAAGTACATCGATATAGTTTTCGGATAAGTTCGCTAAGTTTGGGGTAATGTTATATACCACCATCGTTAAGAAATAAGTAATAAGCAGTTTAACCAATTGAGCAATTAAAGCAGTAATGGGAATAACTAGCACATGGTATGATTTTGATGAAAAAATCTGAATTACCTTGGTTTAATGGAGAATAGGTTTATATGTGTTAACTCGGATAAACACATTAAGCAGTTAAAGAGTGTGCAGGTTTGCAATTCCAATTTATTTAATCTCTTTGGTAATCAACAAAATTGCCAAATAGATGCGTCACTCATTCAAAATTATACAGTAGCTGCTACTTCGTGTAACTTGTAAAATTGATATAGCTATTCTCATTCTAGTTGTCTTCTAGGCAGCAATTTGATATAGATTAAAAAATGATTAATACATTTTAATTAGGTGATGTTTCATTTTAAAAATATAGTATTATAACTGAAAAATCAAAAGCTGAAAACAATTATCAAAATCATTATCGTAAAAAGTTAAATCTTCACATTTAAAAATAATTGGACAACCAAATAATACACAAAAATGAAAAACATTGTGTACTCCTAGTCCAATCAATACAATGGGATGTGATTTTTAAAGATTTTTTTCTGTTAGAAAGTTAAGTCTAAAGCAATTATTTTTCAGTTTTTTTAAATTTGTGAATTGATGGGGCAGGCCAATTTCAACACTTTTAAAGGGTTTCTCCTATTTCTCGACAAGACAGAAAAATAGTAGTTTTGATGTCACAGCCTCATTTATTAGGAAAAGTTGAATGGCAAAAATCATTGTTTCATTCTGGTAGTTTCTATAATGCGCTATAACTCTTTGAAAATATATGATTATTAAAAGGTCAACAGTTACACAGGTTATAGAGTTTTAGGTCCAGTGGTGTAAGTGATTTATCTGTAACTTTCTATTTTTTCAGTTATGTAACACAAAACTTATTTTTTTTTAATAGACGCTTTAGATATTCTTTGATTTCTTTAAATTTTTTGCATAAATATCATGCAGGATAATTTCTTTTGAAAGGAAATTTTATGCAGGTTTAAAAAATTGATAAATATATGTATAGGATGTTCCATTAAAAAAATTAAACTTTCTGTTATAATTGAAAAACCGGAAGTTATATAAAAATACCACATACGCCACTGCAAAAATCTCTAAAAAAATCAATTTTTTTTACAAACAAAAAAGTTCTGAGGTACCACAGAAAATGGTCACTTTGGAGAATTATTCTACTCTTAAACAAATCAAGATGGAGTTTTCACCATTCAACTCATCTTGAAAAATTGAACATTTAATTTTTAACATTAACATTTAACATTTTTAAATTACATTTTCCACATTTTCCATAAAAGTGTAAAATTGGCCTACCTTGTACATTTGCCATCTAATATAATTATTATACTAGGATAATACCTCAAACACACATTGAAAAACAAATACAATGAAATATAAAACAGAAATTTAAAACAAGTTTTGTCAGTTTTAAAACATACAAGGACAGGAGGTTTTGAAAAAAACCAATGAATATAATGGCCTTCATATAATTTATTTCTTACAGAGTATAAAAGAAAATATAATTAATGTAAAATTACTCAATAACCATAATCGCTTATTTAATTATAATGTAAATTAAGACAATTTTGAAATTACCTCCTCTACCTGCTCCTTTGCAAACATATGGAATAAGTTTTCAGGTGTCATAGTCATTACTTCAACATTTGAGGAATTCAATTTTTCCTCCATCACTTGTTTAAGTATTGTTAGAGCTGAAGTAGTTGCCTCTTCAAGAGTCATGCTACGATGGTATACTTCCTGTAAGCTCTGTTGAGCACCCTCTGAACCAGAACCTATTGCTTTAGCATCAAATTGTACAAATGTGCCTAAAAAAAAAATAGAAACAAAAATAAGACTGTTAAATTATTTGAAATACTCGACCAATTTTTCCATTTTTTGACTAATGAAAAAAATTATTATTATTTTTTTTATCACAAAAATGGAGAGTTCTCATTCATAGCAATATATTTTTGACAAATTTTTCATGGCCACTTTTTAAATTTTGATTTCCAGTACAAAAATTTAAAAAAAAATCAAAATCAATATTTTTTGCCTTTTGCCAGTCGTAGCAATAAACGTTTGACAGATTTTTCAGTATCACTTTTTAAATTTTGATTGCCAGTGATATACAGGGGTCAGCATAAGTCAGGCAACGCTCTCGAAAAATCGGCATAAGTCCGGCAACACTCATAAGTCTGGCAACGCTGTCGAAAAAGATTAAAACGAAGCATGTTCGTGCTTCAGACAGTTGTGTCCGTGTCATGAATATGATAACACGTGCTCGTCGAGTAGACGTGTTTTCAGAATGAATAACCGATACAACTTCACGCTTCAAGAAAGAGTTTTTTTTGTTACCTCGTATCTGCGTACGAACGCGGATTACGAAACTATGTTTACCGAATTTCAACAACAATTTCCGAACTCGCCGCTACCACATCGTACAACAGTGTGGAAGACGTACCAGAAATTCTTAAAAACGGGCTCTGTTGCCGACGCGCCGCGTTCTGGACGACCGGTATCTGTAACAACTAACGAAAATATTGAAACAGTGGCGCTGGCGTTAGTTGAGCAGCCGAACCAATCTGCAGTGCGGCTATCGGGAGAACTTCAAATATCCGATCGTTCTTTACGACGAATGGTGAAACTCATGCACTATCGAGTTTACCGTCCGCGTCTCCTCCACGCACTTCACGAGGAAGATTTCGATCGGAGACTGGAATTTTGCGAGTGGTACCTCGGATGCAGTCAGGATGATCCGCAGTTCCAGCATTCCATTTTGTGGACGGATGAAGCAACCTTCAAGCTGAACGGTACGGTCAATCGGCATAACTGCGTGTACTGGAACGACCAGAATCCTCACGTCTTCATGGAAAAAGAATTAAACCTGCCTGGGGTGTGTGTGTGGGCAGGTATCCATGCTGGAGGTCTCGTGGGTCCGTACTTTTTTGAGGGAGTACGGGAGTGCGGGAGTACCTTAATGTTCATTTTAGAGAATGGATAGGCAGACAAGGATTCGTTGAGTGGCCCGCACGGTCATGTGACCTGACACCCTGTGATTTTTTCCTGTGGGGCCTTCTCAAGGACCGCGTTTTCGCAAGAAGACCACGCACCCTTCCCGATCTCCGAACTGCAATTGAAGAAGAATTTGAAACTCTTCGCGGACAGCTTGACATGCTTCGCCGGACCTGCCTCTCCGTTGAGAAACGTTGCCGTACATGCATTGATCAAGATGGGCATCAATTTGAACACTTACAGTAACCCTTTTTCGAATCCCTTTTGTAATTTCTTTTAATAAATATATTTTGAGGCTGCATTTTTTTCTCTTAATGTAAATTGGTTGCCTGACATGCCGACCCCTGTAGAACAAAAATTGAAAAAAAATATTTTCATTTAAAAAAATGGGCATTATCCATAGTAGATTTTCACATCCTTCCTACAGTCCATACGATATTTGTTGAGATAGAATTCCAAAAAGACTCCTGCCTCAGTTTCTTCAATGTCTTTCTACACCTGAGAGGTGTTGAATTGGGTTAATTCCGAGAAAGTGAGCAGAGGTTTTCTTGGAATTCTATCTCAACAAATATCGTAGACTGTACATAATTTTTATTTCCAGTGGCGTAGAACTTCAAAAATAGAAAAGATAATAAAAAACAAAACAATTTATTTTGGGCATATAATAAATGTGTTTTTACTTATATAACATCTGTTAAAAGCTAGGTTAGCAGTTAGTCACCGAATACAGTAAGTCAATTCACTCTCGATAAATCTTTGTAGGTCAGCGGTCAGGAGTAGTCCCAAATGGGGTTTAATGATTTGAAAAAATTTTTTTCAGCGTAAATATGCATTTTAAAATTGTTTTTCTCATTTTTCTTTATCTTTCCTTAAAAGTTAAAATTAATGACATTAAGACTGAATCACGCTGTATACAGGGTGTCCCACTAAGGTCAGCGAGGTACGATATTTGGGAAAGTATAGGCCGTAGATCTTCAGGAATTTTTTTTTTTTAATAAATCGACCAAGACAAATCGCTGGAAATAATTTTCAAGTTCGTTGCTTGGCTTGTAGGGGGCGCAATCTACATACCAAAACATAGAGTTGAATTTTTCTCAGAAATGTTTCCTATTCAGGTATAATAAATAGTACAAATATATGGATAGCCGGATTCATTGCATTAACTTTGGTTATTGACAGTTTGTTCTATCTTTCGTCAGAAAAAATGAAGGAAGCTCCCATGTCTGATCAGAGAAATGTATTTCTTTTTTAAGAATTGGCTCATCAAAAGCCCATACCTCGTTGGAAAGGTCCTTTATTTATTTATCTCGTGGTGAATGCATAATGTACCTCAATATGGAAACCTATAGAAGGCGTTATTTCAAAATAATGCCGTTTTATGGATTTTTCTCGAAAATTTTAAATGCAGTGCTATCGTTTTCTTTACATAAATCAATTCAGCACAAAAATTGATGAATGTAGCATGAGTTTGAAATTTATAACAAAAGTGTTGTTTAAATGGTATAGACTGTTTAGTTATTTATTGGTACTATTTATCCAAGTTTAGGTTGTTTCACGTTTTCTTAAAAAAGTGAAATAGCAGAATAAACTTATGATAGGCTAGTTTGAAGAACATAAAAATATCTACATTTTAAAGCTAAAAACGGTTCGACATCTGTTTTTGTAATCGAACGCATTTTACTAAAAAAGTATTTTCTCGATTGGCTACATGACTATGTCAAACTGGACAAGTGCATCCAATTTCAACACCCAGAAGGAATATGCATGTTAGAGATAAAGCATGAAAATGGGCTTTTGATGAGCCAAGTGAAAGTTGCGCAGCTGTTTTTGTATTCCGCGCACAATGGGCTTGTTCACCATTTTTTAAAATTTCATTGCAAAAATGGCAAAAATCCAATTTTTACAAAAAATGAATGATAATGTAAAAATCATTTCTGGTTTGTATGTTATTAACCCTTTCACTGCTCCAGACGTATATATTCGCTAAAAATTTATAGGGCTCAAACTGCTCCAGGCGGATTAATTCGCTTGAATAGTTAAATTGGAACAGGCTTCTCAAACCGTATATATTCGCAACCATGCACATTAGTGACTCGGTTATTGCAATTGGTATGACGAATTTTTGCGGGCGAGTTTATACCGATTGTGACAAATATTTTTATGGAAAGAGGTACTGGTAATAATACCAAGATTGTTCAACTTTCTTTCAGTTTCTATTTGGTACATATACTGTATTTTATTTAAAATAAAATCGTAAAATTTATCGTAAATCGTAATTTAACATAACATAATGTAAAACTATAAGTGGTCTAACTGCTCCAGACGTATATATTTGCACTCGATAAACTTTCGCGCACGGCACGGTAGCTACGTTCAGATGTATTGCGCAGCGAAAGGGTTAAAATGCTTTAAAATGTAATTTTCTAGTATTAATAAAAAAAATTGCCTTCAAATACAAGCACAGGACCCCCCCCACTTTTACATACGTTTTGAACATTTTTGCTCCTATATACTTTTGTACCGCGCAGTCAGTGAAAAAATTAGAGAGAACATTGGTTGCGCATAGCGTAATTCGGTCTTTAGTTATAGATTCGATTAATGTTAATTTGCAATCTATATTTTTCAGGAAATGGTGGGCAATCTCTTGGATTTGAGTAGAATTCGACATTAGGCTCACCCTATACGAGCCCGGGCTCATAATAGTTCGGCCGGCCAACGTTTTTAATTAAATACTTGAATAAATTACAAATTCTACCAAAATGATGAAAGATTTCTTTAAAACTACCTCACTTGTAATAAACTATAGACTATCAATTTACTAAATTTAATCACTTTTGACAAAATTCAAATTGAGGAAAACATAGTTAACAAAAATGTAATGCAACCAATGGGTCATTATAGTTCGGCCACTTATCATATCTGCCATGAAACTGATATACTCCATCAAAACAAAACACATACTGAATAATTCAACAAAATATCTGTCATTATTAGTTTTACTCACGTTTAGTTTCAGATTTAACGTAAAATGTCTCGTGGTAAACCTCTAAGTAAAGATTTACGAATGTCTATTATAAAAGCCCATGAGAAAGGTATTTCGGCCCGCCGAATATCAGTTTCTCATTCAATTCTGCGTTCTACCGTGCAGGATAGTATTAATTTATACAGAAGAACCGGCGGAGTCGACCAAAAAGTCAAAACCGGCCGACCATCTACAATTACAGAAGCAAATAAAAGAGCTTTACGCAGAATAGTAAAAACAAATCGGCGGTCCAATACTAAAGAAATAACTGCACTATGGAGGGACAGTATAGCAAAGCCTATTTCAATGTCCACAACGAAAAGAACTATTCGAAAAATAGGATTCAAGTTTTACAAGGTAACTTTTTATCTTTTTTTTCTTGTTTAAATTCTTGGCAATTTTTTATTTTTTTCCAATAGGCAAAAGAAAAACCTCAATTAACAAAACTGCAGAGGAGAAACAGGTTAAAATGGGCACGAGAACATAAAAATTGGACGAATCAACAATGGCACAGCGTAATTTGGAGCGATGAGTCAAAATTTGACGTTTGTGTAGGTGACACACGAAAACGGGTTTTGCGTACACCTTCAGAGGCCTATCATAGCGATTGTTTAGTCAAAAAAGTAAAGTTTCCAGCATCTGTTATGGTCTGGGGTTGCATGTCTGGTAGAGGTGTTGGTAAACTGCATTTTGTTGATGGAATTGTTAACGCGCAGAAGTACAGAGATATTCTGGAAGAGAGTCTGTTACCATCTGTTGAGATGTGTCAAACGGCGGAAGGGCATTTCATATTCCAACAAGGCGGTGCACCGTATCATACGGCAAAAACTATTAAAACGTGGTTGCAGAATCATCAAATACCAGTATTAAAATGGACGTCTTCCAGCCCAGATTTATCTCCTATTGACACCTTATGGCACAATATGAAAAAACAGCTTCGGAAACATCCAGCACGTTCAGTGCCTGAATTAAAAGTCACAGTACTGAATATTTGGGATAATATTCTACCAGAAGAATGTGCTTTGTTAGTAAATACAATGTCTAGCACAATTAAAGCAGTTATTAAGAATAAAGGCGATATAACTCAATATTAAAGAGTGGCCGAACTTTTATGACCCCTGAGACGGATAAAGTTTTCTATTGTGTAACCATTAGCAGATATATGTATTGAATAAAATGTTCATTTTTGTAACTAAAAAGTTTATAGTTAAAAGGATTTTCAGAAATATTTCGTTATTTATGCATAATTCATAGATTATTAAAGTATTTAGTTGAAAACGTTGGCCGGCCGAACTATTATGAGCCTGGGCTCGTAGAGTTATTAACTCTTGAAGTTGAGAGATGACAATTTATTATTCATAACTTTCTTGGTTGTTTTTATTAAATTTGGATAATTTTAAGATAAACGCTATGTTACTTGAAAACAATTTCTACTAATGTATTCAATTTACTGATAGCTAATTTGGGGCCTATGGGCAGAGAGTGAAAAAAATGTAACTTTTATTTATCGATACAATCCATTTTCGAAATAAATATACATATTTAACAATAAAGATACCATATTATTACTTATAGTAATTATCAGTAAATTGAATACATTAGTAAAGGTTGCTTTAAATAACAGCTTTTACCAACATGATTCAAATTTAATGAAAAACTAAAAAATTACAATGAAAAATTGATTCTTAATTCTCAACTTCAAGAGCTACAGATGAGTCCAAATAAAAAAAATCATATGAATTTGTGTAACAATATTTTTGAGTCCTACCCAAATCCAAGAGTTTGTTCACCAATTCCTGGACACCCTATATCAAATTTATTTGATTTATTCAAAATCTATGTAATAATAAAACAATATTCATTGACATTAATTTCTTTGAAATTTTGACATTGACAAAAAAATGTATGAAAAAAGAAAATAACAAAATATTTCAAATGTGTCGCCTAAAATAATCTGCTTTACCCATTTTTAATAACTTATCAAAGTTGCAGAAAAAAAATATATTAAAACCATACTACAGTAGGACCCCAATTATCCGTCCAGGGTGTGGATTATCCATGCTATGTCTATGAATTTGTGGTTACGCGTAATTTTGTATTTTTGTTGAGTAAAGACTGTATAATATAATGTGTTGTGGCTAACCAAGTTAAATAAGGACTAAAATGATTGACCTCGTGATTGACTGTTTAAAAAGTACATAAAAGGTACTTAAAATAAATGTACTTAAATTGCATTTTCAATGATTTTGTGTATGGTTACCTATGTATTGCTCCGTTTCTTATGTAAAAAATAAATGTTTTGATTATATGCATTTTTCAATTATCCGTGCCACGCTCGGTCCCGCAGATCACGGATAATTGGGGTACTATTGTATACAAAAAAAACTAACCTGAAGGATCCATGTGATACAACTGAGGACCCTTAGCATCTATGCCAGCAAACAAAATAGCAACTCCAAATGGCCTCGACATAGCTGCACCATCATCATCTGAATCCCCGAACTGAATAGCTAAATTGGAGACAGCTTGTGCACAAGATTCTACACTCATATTTTCATTGTAAACAAACCAATGATTTTGGCACTCCACACGAGCTCTGCAATAATGTGATTCAACACATAAACACCGGGACTATGAATGATAAGCACAAATGTCTGTAGGCATTATTATTTTTGCAAAATTATATTATTTTATTTTTCATATAACACACTATATAAAATAACCACATAATAGTATATTACGTTATAAGTGTTGTAAACAGCATTTTACACATGAATGGAAAAGTTACGCACGACGCCGCGTAGCGGCGAGCGCGTAATTCTATGAGTGCGTAATTGCATTACACCACGTATTACATATTATACTTTACCTACGACCTACTTATTTACACAAATTCATTTAGTTTTAGTTCTCCATCTGAACTGGTAACAATATCAATAATTTAATAATTTACAAACTTGATAACATCAACAAGGTATATATTGTAACAATTCTATAGTAGTACATTAATGACAGAATATGATTATTCAAATTTACAAATTGTTATTTTTTATTATATTATTTATTCTTATTATAATAATTATTTATAGTTACAGAACAATTATTGAAGACAAAAGGTATATCGGTTGTTTTGCTTGTTGAAGCGTAAGTAAGATTTACATTATTCAATCAGTCAATGAAATTTTCATTAATACTATTAGTACTATTACTAGTACTTGCTATTGCAGATGATATTTTAGACGAATTGTTAGTTTGATTATTTAGGGAATTATCCACATACCCTTCAGCTACGGCTGATGACTGCCATCCGCCGTGTCTTTTTAAATCTAATAAGTCACCACACGAGTCAACAACAAATCGCGGACGAGCGTCGAAAACAGTGTCCTGTATAAGTCGCTGCTTCTGGTAGTCCCAGATATATGGCTATTCGTTTTGGAATCTTTCCTAAGTTGTTAATACCTACACACTGTCGGGTACAATTTCTGTTTATATAGTTTAGAAAAAAAGGTAAATTTGGAGCCGTATTTACTGCAGATCGAAAGTTATATATTTTTTAACTTTGGGGTAAAAATATTCTGCCACAAAAGAACGTTGTCGTTTAGTTTTTGAATAGGGAATATTAATAATTAGATTCTTCCCTGTGTTTTGAATATATGACGGTTTTATATTACTCTTGTTTCCTGCACGCACCGCTTATACCAATTATAAGAGCAACCTAAAAGACGATTTGAAATAAATTTACATATCTAACATTATATTGAGCTCAATATATTTTCTTCATAAACAAATATTTATCATCTGGTGCGTTTTCTAGAAATTCGTTTATATTTTTGCTTGTCAAAATCTTGGATTTTTTGGATTTAAAGCGGTCCGTTTTTCTCTTCAGGAGAGCTTGTAATATAGAGTAGTTTGCAATAACGACATTGTAATTTATATTAATTGTGGCCTTTAACATTGAGTAAAATGACCAAAGTGAGGAAGGCTTCATAGTTTTTGATAGTTCTTGGAAATATGCCATCATTACATTCTCGGAAAATGATTTAACGTCGTTTTTTAATCTCCATTCCATAAATCTTTGGTAAGTAAATTTGTATCGATAATCAAATTTCGCCGGTAACAAGTTGTTTTTAGTAGCTTCTACAATTTCACTAATATTGGCTGGAGTTAAATTTTCTATTTCACTGTCACTCGACATTTTTTATGTAATCAAACTAATTTCTATAATATTACCCTCACATACAAATATGATTTAAGATTGTCAGTTTTAGAATAAGTTTGTATTCACCCTTGCTAGGAAAACTGTACGATTTTTTTACCAAGCTGTGCGATTTTTTTACCGTATGTAATAGGAATCTTACATTTTTCGCAGACGGTGTGTTTTTAAGTATTTACAGTAGTGGTCGTAGGTAAATAGTTAAATCAACATATTTAAAAACACGAATTTTTGTACACATCTTGCAATGAATTTAAATTTTAGTTATAAAATTATAATGCTCTTCAATGGCTTAAATCTCCTGAGAATTTATTATAAAATTTAAGCATAAATTAATATTGTAGATAATACCAAAATGTAGAGGACAAAAATTCAAATTTTTGATACCTATCTATCATTGTTCGAGAATCTGCCATAAGCCCAGAAACAGCACATCCAATATGTTTATCAACCTCCACAATTTTTTCAATAGTTGTTGGTTCCATTAATGGGGATGTTATACGTTTTTCTACCGCCAGTACAACACCTTCACTTGTACAAATGCCAATTGCTGTTGAGCCCAGCTTAATAGCTTCTATAGCATATTCAACTTGAAACAAACGCCCTTCTGGAGAAAAAGTATTTACTCCCCTATCATATTCACTTCTAGTAAGAAACATCTAAAATGATTTGTATTTGTGGTTAAGTTTTCATGACAGGGCAAAATTAAAAATATATTAGCAACACATTCTACTAGGAATGTGATTTAAATATATATATTAAAATAAAGAAAATGTTAAGTACTCACCTTTAAATAAGTATGTTAGTATGTATATATTAATTTAATATAATTTAAAATAAGTTGACTAAGCACCGCTTCCTAACCGCGTAACAAAATAGAGAAGCTGAAGTGAAAATTCTGAAAAGTCAAGGATTGTGACTTGTTACTGTGACTGTCAACTGTCAGTTGAATACAAAATATCAAAGACTTTTTTTCGCGAGTAAAGTCGTATGTTCGTTGTAATGTGGTTGTAGCATGTGTGGTATGAGTGAGTGAAGAGATTTAAACTACCACAGGAAAATTAAGATCAAAAGAGATAGAAATGGTAACTACAAGTTACCAATATTCAGTCGCGAAAAAAAGCCTCTAGATTTAGCACGTCTGCAAAAAGGCCAAAGGCACGCCCGCCAGGTATGCAAATTGCGCCGGGCCACCACCCCGCCAGCCATATTTGGTGCCCTCAGTACCACAAAGCTAAAAACACACACACGACACAAAACACTACACAAACATACAGATAGCCCCTCCTACCCTCACCAAACACAACCCCAGGACGCACATACGCTGACATGACCAGAAAAACACAAAATACGCAAAACCAAAAACACAACACCTCACCACACGCACACACAGACACGACACCCTCCCAACCGGGCGCGGCGGCCTGATTGACGCAACGAAGCGTCTTCAGGATTTTTGCGTCCAGCTGTCGACCATGGTGTCGAATATGCAAAAATTATTCGACTTCTAATGGCTCGTCGGCCCTCCCAACCCTCCTCGCTGAGAATTTCGTCCTGGAACCTTGACGGGTTCCGGGCCAAAAAAACGGAACTCGTGGACATTTTGAACCGTCTAAACTGTCGTATAATCTGAACTTCAGATTTCGACTATCTTTCGAATCCAAGTTCCAACACCCGGAACAGCGCTCCAGTGCAAGCCCTCTATGTAAAACCTGAAGCTATAACAAACATATTCCACAATGTTTCCAATCCCGAGCACGAAGTCGCTGTCAGAGGAGAAAGTAAAACTTTCACCCATGTTTCCAATCCAAACCTCAAAATCCAGCACCAAGCCCCAAGCCCGATTTCAAGCATAAGAAATCAAAGGCAAAGCATTAAATTGCATAATGTTTCTAACTCTGAAGCCGAAGCCGCTGTCAGAGGAAAAAGTAAAACTTTCACCCATGTTTCCAATCCAAACCTCAAAATCCAGCACAGAGCTCCAAGCCCGATTTC